ATGATAATGATGAGGATGATGATGATGACGACGACGATGATGACGATGATGATGATGATGATGATGATGATGATGATGATGATGATGATGATGATGATGATGATGATGATGATGATGATAGTGATGCTCAGGAGGACGATTGTTTCGAGCCCGTTGTTCGAACCATTTTTCCAGCGTTGCACACACCCTCAGATATGCAGCTGGGCTCATCACGTTGGTTCAACAGCTTTTTTTTGAATGTTGCATTAAAGATTGACGCAACTACTACTAGATTGCTTCCAACGCGCCTCCAAATTGTTCATTGTGCAGCCACCGTTTTCTGGGCGGGAACGCAAGCCCGTAAAGGTTGCCAGAATTTTCAGAGCGCAGACAGGAAACCATTCTACGTATTACTTAGAATTGAAGGGCCAGCGCGGGCCGCAGTAAGACCCACCCAGCCGCGCGCCAGGCTGCACAGGAACATGAACCCAACAGGCCGCACAAAAGACCAACGGGCCGCACAAAAGACCAGTCGCCCCCCGGGACCCCCCCAGGATCGGCCCCAGGACACCCCCCCGGGACCCCTCTCCGGGCCCCCCTCGACGGGACCCACCCCGGGGGCCCCTCACGGGACCCCTCACCGCTGGGAAAGGGGCAGTGGGAAAGGGCTTCCCTTCGACGTAATTGCGATATTGCTTGATCCCCCTGAATTGTCAGGTCCCCCCCCTACGACGACGACGACGACGACGACGACGACGACGACTACGACGATTCAAAGGAGGCTGGCGTACGTAAGTTTGGGTTAGGCTGGTCTCGCCTCGAAGAGCTTTTCACACGCGCCGACTGGGTCGGCGGATTCGGATGAAGAGGAGGCTGCTGCGCTTTCTATGGCTGAGTCGACGATCCCCGTGTCTTTCAGGAAGAGGAGGACGTGAGGAAAATGAGGAGGGGAATGTGGAGGAGGAGGGGGGAGGATCAGTAGAAACCCCAAAATCATCATCGATGTTGGAATAAACCCTCCCTCCAAGCTTCATTATCATAGCCCCCTACAATGGTTCATTTCCACAGAGAGCTGCCTCGTTGGAAGACAACCGCTTGAAGACCGTGAAGCATGAGAAATAATGTTTCTCAGGATTCCAACGCCACGGATCAACCTGACTGTTGCGTGTTGGCGGTCCTGAGTCGTGCCAGAAAGCCATTTCTGGGATTTCAACACCGCGAATCAACGTAACTGTTGTTCCCCCTTACCCTGAATCCTTTCAAAACACCGTACGTTGCTCATGGGAACCAGTGGAACTCGTGCAAATTGTACAAACGAGCGTGCGAGGTGCTAAGGCGAGAACCACATGTTGAAAAGGAACAGCCGTCAATCCGCGAAGCTCCTCCAAGTGTTTGAAACGGCGCTGCGGCGAGAGCCACATTCTGAAAACGACCCGCCCTCAATCCGCGAAGCCTTTGCAAATGATAAAATCGAATGTGCGCGGCGCTAAGGCGAGAGCTGCAGTTTGAAAACCACCCACCTTCAATCAGTGAAACTCTTGCAATTGTTTCAAACAAAAGCTCGCGGCGCTAAAGCGATAACCACATTTTGAAAACGACCCGCCCTCAACCCGCGAAGCTCTTGCTTCTGTTTAGAACGAATGTGCGTGGCGCTAAGCTGAGAGCCACAGTTTGAAAGCCATCCGCCTTCAATCCGTGACACCCTTGCGAAGTTGTAAAAAGAATGTGCACGGCGGTAGGGCGAGAGCCATATTTCGAAAACCACCCGCCCTCCATCTGTGAAGCTGTTGCCAATGTGTAAGCTTCAGGGCCACAAGTGGTCAGGAAGTCTCAGGCGAAACGCCTGGCCCGCCCTAAAAACTGGCCTCGGGGTGCGACAGGGAGAAATTATGCATAAGGAAAACGAGCGGAGGAAGAGGAGGAGGAAGAGGAGGAGGAGGAGGAGGAGGGGAAGTTCAGGGTGGATGAGGGCTCCTCCTCGAAGTCTGCGCCGTAATTCTCTCCCGCCACCTTCGCCGCAGGTCGACTACGAAGTGGCGACGACGAAGACCACGACGACGACCTTCACGACGACCACGACGACGGCCACGACCACGACAACGACCACGACAACGACAGCGACAACGATCACGACGACGACGAGGAGGACGATCTCGACGAATGCGACCTCGAGGACGACGTCGACGACGGCGGCGGCCTCGACGACACAGGCCTCAACGACGCCAGCGCCGACCTGGAAGACGACCTCGACGACGACGACGACGACCACGACCACGACCACGATCACGACGACGACGACGCCGACGCCGACGCCGACGCCGACGCCGACGCCGACGCCGACGCCGACGCCGACGCCGACGCCGACGACGACGACGACGACGACGACGACGACGACGACGACGACTACGACTACGCTGCGACTACGACTACGGCGACGACTACGGCGACGGCGATGGCGACGGCGACGGCGATGGCGACCGCGACAACCACGACGACGACGACGACGGCGACCTCGACGACTACGGCGACGGCGACGGTGACGGCGACGGTGACGACGACAAAGAAGATCACGACGATGACGACGACGACAACGACGACGACTACCACGACGACTACGACGACGACCACGACGACGAGGTCGACGACGAGGTCGACGACGAGGACGACGACGATGACGAGGTCGACGACGACAACGACGTCGACGACGAGGTCGACGACGAGGTCGACGACGACGACGACGACGACGTCGTCGACGACGACGACGAGGACGACCACAACGACGACGACCACGTCGACGACGACGACGACGACGACGACGTCGACGACGACGACGACGAGGACGACCACGACGGCGACGAAGTGGAGGAGGACGGCGACGACAACAAGAATGATCCGGGACCTGTGTTGCTCTTCATCGTTGCTCTTCATCGACGGGAACCCAGGGACCCAGAAACTATGGGAAACGATGGGGAATCTGTCTTGCCTGTCTTCCCTGTCTTCCCGCCCAGTCTTCCCTGTCTTGCGCGAGCCCCGTCGACAATGGCCGTGCTGCTCTTCCTCGTGGCCTGCTGCTGCCTGGCGCCTGCACCATGGTGGTGCACCTCCGGGAGGATCTTCACGGCGGGGCGCGCGCTCGGCCATGCGGAGAGGGGGGCTGCTCCCCCCCCCTCCTCCTCCTCCGGGGGGCTCCTCCCCTCCTCCTCCTCCTCCTCCTCCTCCTCCTCCTCCCCTCCCCCCTCCTCCTCCTCCCCCTCCTCCTCTCTCTCCCTCCTCTCCTCCTCCTCCCTCTCCTCCTCCTCCTCCCCCTCTCGTCCACGCGCGGCCACAGAGAGGGCCCCGGCCCTGCGCTCCCCCCCCCTCCCTTCGAGGAGCATCTCGGGCCCTTGGTGATGGGAGCGTTTTCCACCACCACCACCATAAGTTGGAGGGGGGAAGAAGGAGGACGAGGAGGAGGACGAGGAGGAGGAGGACGAAGAGGAGGAGGAGGAGGGCACCCTCCCCCTCCAACTTATGGTGGTGGTGGTGGAAAACAGGCCCACCACTTGGTCAGGGTCAGTCGATCAGACCAGTCGGTGGCAGCATGTGGCCGCCGCCCGAACTCTCGTCCGATGAAGATGAAGCTGAGATGCCACGGTCGGCGTCTGGGGGGAAGTCGCGGTCGGTGTTCGCGGGCTGCCGCTTCGTTCCCCGCGGGGCTGTCAGCGATCGGGGGGATGGGCATAGGGGGGGATGCATCGACCCCCAATCGCCCTTGGATCGCCGATAGGGGCCCGATGGCCCCGGCCTGCCCAGGAACGTCCGGATTCACTATCGGGTGCCTGTCGCCGATATATCGGTGATGTATCGCCGATTGCGGGTCGATGTTCCCCCCCCCCCCCCCCTGTGCCTCCCCCCCCCATCGTTGCCCCGCATCTTTTCGGGAGGGGTGGGCGGGGGGCTGGGACGGGCACCTACCGTGGCTGCCGCGCCCCTGCAGCCAGTGCGTCGTAGAGACACTGCGTTTCAGTCCGGTGTCCTGTGTCCTCGCCTTTCACGCCCCGGCCCTCCCCTCTCCGCCGCCCGCTCGTGCACGCCGTCGCGCCCCTGCCCCCGCCGCTAAGAAGCTCCCCTCTCTGCCCTCGCTGCCCTCGCGGCACCGTGTCTGTAGAAGCTCCCCGCTCTGCGCCTCGTCTGTAGACGCTCTCCCTCTCTGCCCTCGCTCCTCTCCCCCCGCTCTCGTGCTCTCTCTCTCTCTCTTTCTCTTTCCGTCTCCGCGTCCCTGCTCCCCGTCGCCCATCTCTCATCCCGAGGTCCTCGCTGTCTGTCTGTCTCTCGTTCAGCCTTGCGCGCCCTCCTCGGCACGGCAGCTGGACGGGGTGGGGGATGTGGAGAAGGGTCGGGAGGGGAACAAGTATACACACACACACACTAATAAACGTCGATGCCCAGGAAAATGGTGGGGAAATATGGGAAGTGGAGGGGAAGGCGAACATCCAGGAATATTGAAAATCTTTCAAATGTTGTAACGTGTGTCTATTTATCTGTGTCTCCCTGGACCCCTTCAGACGAGATCGGTCTGTTGCCACCAGCGCTACCGCGTCTCACGCACCGCGCACGAAGGAGCAGGTGGGCGGAAGAGGGGGGCGGAGGCGAGAGGAGAAGACAGGGGAAGCGCGCTCCCCTGCCCACCAACGTCCGTGCACACCGGTCCATCTGAAAACGCTGGGGGCGGTTTTGTTCCCCCGTTTTCAAGATCGACGGTTGCTTTTCGCGTCGGGCGCCGTGTTTGTTACGTTGTCAGGTCCAGGATCGGCCCGCGGCCCACCTGCTCGCTGTCTGTCCATTTTCAGTACGTGTGTAAAGGGCTTTTAGGTCTCACAGTGTCGCCTCTCTGGCGTCCCCATTCCAGGGTGCCCTGTTTAGAACGTTTTGGTGGAGTGCAGAGCCGAGAGCGGCGAACGAGACGGGAAGACAACGCCCCCAGCGCTTCTCCACAAGACTGCGGCACGACGGCACGGGACCGCTGCGCTGCGTCGGCGCAGGACATGGCATCTGCGACCTCGCGGCGCGCATTCTGCGGCACCGCGAGGGTGTGGGCGCCGACGGAGGCCGCGGGGCGGGAGAGGGGTGCGGGCGGAGGTGAAGAAAGAGGGGGTGCCCGGCAGCAGACATGGGAGCCTTGCCTGCCCGTGTAGCCCCGTCTTTAGAGTTCACCAGCGTGGGCCAGCGTCCAGTAATCGGTGACATAGCTCAGACTCAGCGTCGATCAGATTCGGTTCGAAAGAACCAACAACATGGCAAGGGAGACTCCCAGGAGTTGCCACATACAGTGGGAGCCCATGCCAAGAAACACCCTGCTTGCCTCCAGGGTGCCCTGGGTTTCTTGGGTTTCGATGATATCGCGATGGAAAGCGTGACGATCCCACACCAAAAATCATTGGAGGTCCTGCTGTCTCAGGGTTGGAACTCTTGTGGAAGGTTCCTTGTGGACTGGCCTCCACTGTAATGGGTGCCGGGAGGCCTGGAGTTGGGACGAAACGCACGAGGAGGATGTCAAACACAGGCAACTCGCATAGTAAGGATGCGCGACTTTCCAAGGTTACTCTTTCATCCTTCCCCTTCGGCCCATCCGAGGCCGCTTTCGCTGGCCCTGCCCCGCCCGTAAAGTGTCGGCATGGCCTTCCAAGGCCACTGCATCCTCATCGTGCATCCTGATTATACTGGTTGACTGTAGGTAGCTTTGAGCAGGACTCGCCGTGGAGGTCGCACCGAGATCCGCCGGCTGGAGAGCGACGCTGTCGCCTGCGGAACGGCAGCGGCCGCCGTCCAGTGTTCGGTTCGGTATTTGCTGTTGGGCATCATTCCGCTCGGTCTGGCCTCTGGGAAGAAGGCGTGAGCGATCCAGCGGGCCTCGCCCACTCCCATTGACTCTTGTCCTGGACTCGATGCGTGTACGGTGCAAGATGCGTGCTGCTGGCACGGCGCACTGAGAGCCATCGGTGGTGCGGCTCGAGCCACCCTGCCCCTGGCATTCCTCGGAGGGCGCCAGCAGCGCTTGGGGGCGGCGCATGCGCCCCCTCGGGTCGCACCCCATAGGGCAGAGGAGAGACGTCGTGTGAAGCGAGGGGCTCAGGGAGCTCTCGCCGAGGCGCTGCGGCTCGGGGCGGTCTTGCCCCCTGCAGTGCAGGGAGGCTGCCGACTGCCCTGCGAATGGAGCGCACGGGAGAGCAGCTGTTTCAGCACATTGCGCCCCAGTCTTGATTTCGACGTGTACGGGATCGTCAGCAGGGCATCGCTAGTGATTCGTGAAGCATGCTGCGTCCTGTCAGTCGTGGGGCGGAGTGCAGCTGGCAGCCGGCCTGGAGCACGGTGTGGCCACATTGCCAGCGATCCGCCAAAGAGCACGTACAAAAGCAGAGGGACGAGGTTGGGGCGAAGGATATTGATCTCACCGCGGGTTGGGTCCGCCGCGTCTGGCCCAAGACAGACCCAGAGATCCGATGTATTGATTTTTTCAGCACGCAGTTCCCGGAAGTCCCGATCCTTTTCCCCCAGGCCGGCTTTCCATCCTGAGCTGTGTTTCGACGGTCCCAGGGCCCGGCGAGGGCGAAAAACTGTTGCATTGAATCTTTCTATACGTTGGAGGTCTGGGGATGCAGGTCTCGGTGGTCGCCTCTCTCACGGGCCGCCAGCTGCTGGCAGTCCAGGCCAGCCCCACATGGGGGCCGCAGGACCTCCTGAGGCGCCTCCCGGGGCGGGCCGCGGCGGACGACTGCCGCCGGCGCATCTTCTGGGGCGCCACCGAGCTGAGCAGCGCGTGCTCGCTGGGCGACCTGGGGGTCACCGACGGCGCCCGCCTGTCCCTGGTGGTGTCCCGGCCGCTGCACGTCCTCACGGCGTCGGGCGACGGCGCGGCGAGGATCTGGAGCGCCCCCTCGGGCGAGTGCCTCCGCACCCTGCGGGGCCACGACGGCTCCGTCCTCTCCGCGGCGTTCTCCCCCAGCTCGGCGGGCGCCAACCACACCTCTGCACCGGTCCTGGTTCTCGGCCCGTCCTGGGCCCCGAAATCGGGCCCCCCTGGCTCGGCGAGAGAGGCACACCACACCGACCCTCTTGGCTCAGGATCGGCCTGGCCAGGATCGGTGCATCTGTGCATGGTGCAGTTGGCGGCCTCCGACCAGCGGCGACGCGGTGGTGACGTGCTCTGACGACGGCACGGCGCGGGTGTGGAGCACGGAGTCGGGCGAGTGCCTGCTCACCCTGAGGGGGCACGGGGCCCGCGTCTGCTCCGCGGCGTTCTCCCCCGACGGCCAGGCGGTGGTGTCCAGCGCCGCGGACGGCACGGCGAAGGTCTGGAGGGCGGCGTCGGGGCACTGCCTGCACACACTGGTGGGCCACTGGGGGGGCCACTTCTTCCCCGCCACCTTCTCCCCCGACAGCCAGACCCTGCTGACCAGCGGGTACGACAGCACGGCGAAGATCTGGAGCGCAGCGTCGGGCGACCGCCTCCACACGCTGGCGGGCCATGGCTACATGGTGGTGGCTGGTGAATTCGCCCCAGACTGCCAGACAGCGGTGGCCTGAGAATTCTTCGGTCCGTCCATGCGTGCTCGATCAGGCCGCTGATCCGATCGATATGTTGATCACAGGACGGTCTACGCTTCGGGATGCATCGGGCCAGCTGGATCGGGATCAGGATGCGATCGGGGAAAACACTGAAGCGGCAACAACAAGATTTCCCAATCAATCAGTGCTTGCACTGAAGGGGTCCTAGCGGAGATGAAGGATTCGGCGAAAGTTCCGGGCCGATTTCGGTGGGCGGCCGGGTTCCCAGTTTCCCGGATTTGGGTTCCCGGGTTCCAGGTTCCGTGTTCCGAGCAGATTTCGGTGGGCGGTTTTTGGGTTCCCGGGTTCTTGGTCGATCTTCTTATCGATCGGTCTCAACATCGACTTCAGCACCCACCTCTCTATCGACCTCACTATCGATCTCATAATCGATCTCACAATCGATCTGAATATAGATCGCACGAGCGATCTCACGATCGATCTCACTGAATCGACTTCACTATCGGTCTCATTGAATCGATGTCACTATCGGTCCCACTATCGATTTCGCTGTCGATCTCACAATCGATCCCAATATACAGATCACTAACTTTCACACCATCCACTGATTGGGTTTTCCTCTGGTGTAATTAAGTTTCAGATTGCTCGCCTTCTTTGCTCGCGTGTCCCTCAACATGTATACCACCACCCCCTCCCGCCCTTTTCGTCTTCGATCGCGCCCTCTTTGGGGGTATATCTTTGCCTGCCACGTGTAGTTGATGCGGCCCCTGAAATAGGACGGGGACGGAGAATGGAAAAAGGGAGAATGCGGGGAAGGGAGGAAGAAGCGAACACGGACGGGGAGGGGGGAACAACAGGAAGGTAGGAGGAATGAGGACGACAAATATTCAGCAGGAGGGAGAGGAGAGAGGAGCAGAAATATTGGTGGGCGAACCCTGATGGGCGGGTCGGGCGGGCGGACCCGAACGGGCGGGCCGGGCGGGCAGTGCATTTAAACGGGCGGGCGGGCGGGCAAGCAAGCAGACAAGCGGACGCCAACGGGCCTTCTCTGCCCTGATAATTACGCACGTGATGAGATGCAACACGTGCCGTGTTCAAGGCGTCCGTGTCAACACGATGCGTGCTGGCGCGGCACGTGCTGGTCCACGCTGCGGTGAACATATCGCGCCAGCCCTGCGTGTTCAGTCTACGTGTTGAGCTCCGTGTCAAGACGCTACGTGTTGCGTGTTGCGCATCGGGGCAGTTAAGCAGCGGGCTGGTCGGGCGCCTGGACCCCGACGGGCGGGTCGGGCAGGCGGACCCCGGCGGGCGGGTCGGGTGGGACATCAAAGCAGGCGGGCAGGCTCGCAGGCAGGCAAAGCGGTGGGCCCTGGGAGGGCTGCGCGGGGCACTGAAGCGAGTGTTTGCGAAGAGGCCTCAGGCGAGGGTGCGATTCCCGAGCAAAGATTACACTCAGGAGGAGAAAAACACACACAGACACAATGAATCGTCGATTCCCCAGAAGATATGGGACAATATGGGAAGTGGGGGGGAGGACAACAACCCAGAAAATATAGGAAAATATGGGGAATCATATTATTTGTGTGTGTATTTGTTTGTCCCAGGACCCCTTTCATACACGTCGGTCATTCGAAGTAGGTATTTTGGGATCTCCGGATCCCAACCTGCTTTGGGCGCCCTGCTACTTCAACGAGCGAGCGGTTCATCTCTTCGTTCCTCTTCAGGGGGCGGGCGGAAGCCCAATTTGCTTCCAACGCATTCCTATGTCATGTTTCTACCCATTTCTTTCGACCAACGGGCAATAAAGCCTCGTGAAGGAGAGCGATTTCTGAACGTCGAGAGCGCAGCGCCAGGGCACATAGCAAGGAAGTCCCAAGCGAGAGCGCGATCCTCGAGTAAACTGTGAGGGAGTCCTGGGCGCGGGCGCGATTCATGGATAAATGAAACTGTTCCCGCCTGGTACGTCCTTACAGGATGTATGAGGCGGTAGTCGCTATTGTTGTATCCGGGCTTCAGAAACACAGTTTGAGCCTGAAGACATTCCTTGTAACAGAACATGATGCGAGCTCCAGGGGCGGTCATTCCAAATGAAAACAAATGCGCGCCGCACAACGAGGATCGGAGTGAGAACTCAACCATATCATAAACAACTACTTCACCCAAATGCTCGATGTGTTCACATGCAGCATGCATCCCTCATGAGAACTCCCCTCCCGTTCATTCGTGAATTGTTTCATAGGGGGCCCGATCTTGCGCCCGACTAAACGTCTGGGATCGAGCGGGTAGTGCTTCCGAGGTGGCCACCGGGTCTGACGACAGCACGGCCAAGATCTGGAGCACGGCGTCGGGCGACTGCCTGCACACCCTCAGGGGTCACGACGATTCCGTTATCCAGCGGCCTCCGCCCCGTCCCGACACATTGCTTGGCTGTTGGGTCACGGGCGCAGTGGGATCAGTGGGATTTCCTGACGGCCGCAATGTATTCCCAGCCATGCTCCTGGTGGGGTGCCGTGTGGAGAGGTTCCGAGGAAGATGGCTGGGATTGCTGAGGTCTCCTGGGCCCTGGCCCTCTTCGTGGTCGGTTGCGGGGGGGGAGCACCTGGGGGTCTCGAGAAGGACACTCTTGCAGATTCTCGGTGGCCCCCTAGGGGCCTCTAGGAGGCGCGCTGGGGGGTTTTGGGGCCACGCTTGCGGGGAGGAGGTGGTGCACTGGCGGCCGTGTTCCTGAGGCCCGCTGGCCGTCCTCCCTTGAGACCCTTGGAGGCCCTCTCGGGCGCCTCTCGTCTTGGACACCCCCTTGAGGCCAACAAGACGTCGAGACCAGCATGCGCCTCGACTCCTCCAGCGCCGCGGCTGAAAGCGGTCTCTCCCTACTCTCTTTCCTGTCGTCCTCCCCTCTTCCCCTCCGTTTCTCGCTCCTGGGCTCCTCGCTCTCCTGCCCGTTTCTATCCTTGGCTTGGCCCGCTTATTGTTTGTCGGCCAGTCCCGTGGTCCGAATACGAAGGCTGCGGTGGCCCGCACTGACACGCTGGCGAATAGCCGGGTGTGGGGCGAAGACTTGCTGACATGCGTTTGCCGCCTGAGGTCTCCGGAGCCCTCTGCAGCCTCGGGAGGCGCAGACGCTGCCAGAACAGCGCGCCAAAGACCTCGAAGCAGCTCCTCGAGCCTGGATGCCCCCCAGTGGCGCTGCCCCGGGGGTCCCTCCTGAGCCCATCCGGCGTCTGAGGCCACTCGGCCGCCGAGCGGGGAGCCGAGCGGGCTCTCATCCGACCGCTCGGTGGCACGTCGGCCCGCTCTGCAGCCTGCAGCCCGGCGGCCTCGAGCCTGGGCCCGCGCTTGGCGGCCAGATGGGCTCGGGCGTCGAGCGGGCTCCTATGGGTCGCCCGCGCGGGGGGCGTGCCTCGCGCGTCGCGGCCCGGGCAAGCAGCTGCCGCTCCCCGGCGGGTGCGGCTGGAGGGCGGGAGGGAGCGAATGCCGTCGCGCGTCCCGCACCGCGGGGCGCGAGGCGCGAAGTCGGGTGACCTGTAGTCGGACGGGGCCGGGACGAGGGTGAGATTCCGTTCTCAGAGCGTTCCGGAACGCTCTCAGAGCGTTTTGGGACGCTCTGATGAAGGCCGCGCCGCCCGATGCATCCTCCAGAGCCGCCGGATCTCAGAGATTCTCGAGTTGTCCTCGCCCGATGTTATCCTCGTCCTGGTTTCGTCTTAGGCACCCCCTGCGGTGGCGCCAGGGCCTGGCCGATCTCCACCGCGTTCTCCCCCGACGGCCGGTTGGTGGCGACCGGCTGCGCGGACACCACGGCGAGGGCGGCCCGGCCCGACAAACCGCGGGCGGCCCCCGGCGGTCTTCAGAGGTTTTCGGAATGCCTCGGAGGGCTCTGAAGGACTTCGGAGGTCTTCGGAGGCCTTCGGAACGCCGCGGCGTTCTTCGGAGGCATTCGGCACTCTTCGACTGGTCTTAAAAGGCCTCCAGGGGATCTTCGGAGGAGCTCTTTGGAGGGTCTCTGGTCGAGTTCTTTTCCCCAGAGCTCTGGGAGGGCGTTCAGGGGTGGTGGGCTTTTGGTTGCGGTTGTCATCGCAGGGTTGCAGATGCTTTGGTGGGGGAGGGGGCTGGATGCCTTCGGGCCCCACGATGCCTTTCAGCAGCCGCTCTTCGCCGAGTGCCCTAGGGGGACGCCAGTGTCGTCTCAGGATGGCTCTGCTTCGGCCTTCGAGTAGGGGATCGACTACACAATTGGTTTACGCCAGAATTAGTTGTCTCGTCGACTCATACGTATCATGTTCGTAGATCTACGAACATCCTACACATTTATCATGGATTCGACGAGCAAGCCAATTTTTGGGTAAATCAATTCTGTAGTCGACTCTCCTACTCGAGGCCTGCCTGCTCTTGACCGAGAGATCCAATGTCTCGGCGTCCTGGAGAGGATCGGCGCGGCGGACGTTTCTGGAGTGGGGCCTCTCCTGAGGCGGGCCGCGGGAGGAGGAGGAGGAGGAAGAGGAGGAGGAGGGGGAGTCATAGCCCCGAATCATCAGGGCTTGGGGCGGTCAGGGGTAACTGCAGGTTCGCGCCTCGGCAGCCCAATCCAGAGTTACCCCGGACCGCAGTTATCCCGGATAATTCGGGCGTCCA